AATCAATGTTTATTAATTTTTTAAAAGTATTAAATAAATGGAAATGATATGAAAATCATCGTGCTATCCGTAAAATAATAAGTTGAGAGCTTTTCGAATAAAAGAAAATAAGTTAGAAATTTCGCTTGATTTGTTTAAACTTAACAAATTCTTAAAGAAGATTCCTTACTGTTCCGTTTCTCTCATATTCCTAACAGAGGTTCTCACTAGGAATGAGTCTCACTACATGGAGAACCACGCCTCTTAATCTCCCCTTGTAGACGTTGATAAAAAGCCCGTGCGATCGGTGCATACGCCAGTTTGCAAACAACAAACGCGAGAGTGCACGGCGTCGTTGAGACGTTTTCGCAGGGCGCCTTCGACGTTTATTTCTTATCGGATCAGGTATGAGGGAAGGGTAGATTACGCAGGTACACGTTGAGAAAAGTTAACGAGGCCTAAGGCGGACACGCCTCGGACGATCTGCGATTAGTCACTGAGAAGTATCGAAGAGAGCATACCGATCTGTTTGGTGCAACAGTGACAAATGCGTCTTGTTTATGAGAAACGAAATACGCAAAAATCCTCGTTCTTTATTTATACAGTTCATTGAATCGTGATATTACCTGACAATTCAATACAATAAAGTTTAAAACCATAATCAGATTTTTGTGTTATCTGTGTAGTGCAAATTGATAAAGCAAAATTTTTAATAAAAAATTTCATATTATATATGAAAACAAAAAATATACATACAATGTTTAATGTATTAGAATACATTCGCGTAACATAAAATAATATTATATTATTGAGATGAACATTACAATATTGATTAAAAATTGAAAAACTTAAAGTAAATAGAAATACACACACACACACACACACAAAATTTATTAATATTTTTCTTATTCTTATCATTAATGTTACATTTAAATATACATATATACACATCGTATTCTTATCATAATTTGAATTTATAAATAAAAATTAAATATGTGAATAACAAAAGTATATATTTTTTGTTAAAAGTAATATTTTAGATTAAATATTAATATTTTGCTCAATTAGAAACAGGGTAATTAAAAATGATTTTCCCATAATCTAACAGAGATTTATAGAATATATTGCTATAACGAATGATTGACAACTGATGCTCTATTTTTTATCGTGGCTATATTTCTTAATCATGTGAAAGCAGTGAAGCATTGCCAATCGCAAAACGTAAGTTGAGAAAGAGAAATGTTTCTTTTTCCTCTCAATGCAAAAACATTAAGGAGTTCTTATTATGCAAGTTACGGAAATTCGTGACACTTTGTCAGATTTTATGTAGTACTAAGAAAATATCTATCTACCGCCATTATCCGTTTCTCTGAAATTATTTTTCTTGTGCTATGTAGCAAGCGAATACATAATCAACATTATTTATTATAATACTAAATATTGAATAATCATTACTTTGATGATGGTTACGAGAATAATAGAATTTACTCTAGAGAATTACTTATAGAGAATTATTATATTATTTATTATAAAAATATCTACGTTAAATTCAAATTTATTTGATTCTTCGCTTTATGCGGACTGTTATAAAATCACAAGACAAATAATAAAAATATTTAAGATACATTTATACTACGCGTGCATTTTGCGTCATAATCACGATTAGAAACAGCTATAAAGATAGGATTAAAGTTCCCTGGACGTGAACGATAAAAATTTGCAAGTTCTGGTCATGCAATTAAGCGAAGTGTCGACGGCGCCCCAGTCTTTTGAGTTTCAGGTTAATTCCGCCATTCGAACGGTATGTCTGGAACCGGTTCGCGGTAGTCTCGTAATCCATGCCATGCCTTCGCATTTCTGACGAAGTCACCAGTGCTCTTGTGATTTACAAATGTAACATACGTAACAAGAATATATTTATTATTTTATATAAGGTTAAAGGATATTTTTTTAAAGTTCTGGAATGACTGCTTTGCGAATACAAAGTTCATTGATCAAAATATCAGAGAATTTTTAAGTATAAGATTTATTGATAGACAATGCAAACATGTTAGTGTCTATTAAATTGCTTTCTTTTACTTTCCTACGAGGAATGCATCGATTTGCGGAAATGCACGGATCTGTACACAGGCGATGCGTTACGATCGCCTGTTATCCGAGCAGTACCTCCGAAGTCTCCCCCTCGAAACGTCTCTCCCACGTCTCTTTCTCGTCGGCAGACAGCGTGGTACCGCGACGACCGAGGAGAATCGCATTGAGGAGGGCGGAGAGAAGTACGTAGCATTATCACGTGCGACACACGATCGAGAGTGCCTCGGGTGTTGTCGATAGTTCGTCGTCGGGTAGTATCGATCGTAATTAATAGGAACGATCTGAAGAGGCGACCTTAACGAGACACCCGCAATCAGACTGCCGCCGCGCGCTCTGCGCGACGTCATTTGCTTAAATTGATTCTCGCTTGTCGCATCCGAATAAGGCAACTCGTGTTCGCCACTCCGCGGGGAGTACGAAAGAACAAAGAGGGGACCGAGTGAATGCCGGGATGATCTCCCTGGATGAGATCGCGACGAAAGGAGGAGAACAGAGACGAGAGAAAAAAGAGGAGCAGTACAAGCGAGCAGACACCTGCTGTTAGGCTGCATTGTCTTCCTCTCTTTTTGATTTTCGTTTCTCCTTTGCCTTCATTTCTTCATCTCTTTCTCTCCTTTCTATTTTCCTTGCCATCATAGTGTGATACAGAACTTTATCAAAGGTAGTCCATAAGTGAGACGATGACACAACACATTACTAAGATAGAAGCCGAGTGAATGTTTTTCCGTAGCTATACGTTTCTTTGAAATTAAAGAACGGAGGCTGAACATAAAACCATTTGTCGATCCCGATGCAGATTAAATTAATGAGAACGAGGTTATATGATGATGATATAAAAACATGATATTAAATCATTATAATTAACATATTTTAATTCTCTGGCTCGTTATAAAATAAATGTTAACTTAACGCTTTTACAGAAGTAAATATCTTCTTTTATTATTTATTAATGTTTCTCTTCTACAAATAAAATGAATAAATTTATCATGCTAATTAACTGGAATCATATTTTAAAGTAAATTGACTTATAGTTGGTTTGAGACGCGGACTTATTTATAATTTTGTCGCGTTATTATCATCTGAACGCAATATACATGTAATGCATAACATAACATAACATAATATGATATGATAGAAGATAGAATATGCATACGTAACGTTCAGACACATATAATGAATATCGTTGCCAGATAGTTTAGAAGCATGCGTTTGCGAGTATACCAATCGGTGTAACTCATTTTAGTGGCTGATAGTTATTGATTTACACGCATAACTTGCGAAACATTTCAGAAGAACTAATGAAAATAACAAAGATTTCATCGCAAGATGATTTATACTGATTGTCTTTTACGTTTCACTTTCGCATTAATATTCGCATAAAAAAGTATAATTGCATTTTCATCAAGTATTATATTTAATTTCAAATATAATTGTTGAAATCTTTATCGTCTTAAACTTGTAAACTTTTCTTTTCGTTTTAAGATGTTATGTTAATGTACCTAATTAATGTAATGTAAAATAAAAATATAAGAAAAATTTTTCAATATGAAAAAAAGAAAGCACAAGAAATATAATGCTAGAAGATTAAAGATTACGTTTATCACTAAATACACAACGAGCAGATATGCTCTTAATTCATTGTGCACTACTTTTCTACTGATTGCCACTTTTCTCATTTCAGACACTCATGACAATTTTAATGCCGGACATGTGACATGCATAGTGAAGAAGGGAGAGCGATGGCAGCGGCGGAAACACTTCTTCGAAGTTCCTCCGATCTTCTCCTTGTTCGTGACAATCGACGAGTTCACGACGCAGAAGAAGGAATCTTCATTCTGAGTACCTTGGCAAAGCCTACGGGTTCGTGAAGGGCATGAAAGCTCATCATGTTCAACCACCGACACGGGCCACGAGCGCTATTAATTTACATTTTCCTCGGCGTGACATTCCTCCTACTGATCGTCGCCGGCAACTGCGATGCGTTAATTCAACCGAGTTCTACAGACGTTAACTCCACTGAATTCGTCAAAGGGAAAAGTGAGTTTTATAACAGTTACTTCCATTTTCGGAAGTTTCGGAAACGAAATTACAATCGATTTATAAGTTGTTTCTGATTGAACGTGGACGTTTCATCATAATTTTTCCTTTTCATACATAAAATAAAAGTAAATATAATATTACAACATTTTTCAATGATAAAATAACTATATATATATTGTAAAATTATTTAATTAGTTAATGTAAATTATCATAAACTTGTTAATAATTTTTATTGTTAACCTTGTAATGATTTTATCATTGAAAAATACATGCATTTTACAATTGTTACTATTATCAATTTAGATGCTTGTATGTATATGTATATATGTATGTACTTAGAACATATATGTATGTACTTAGAAATTATATTTACTTTTATTTATTTATTTATTTTTTTTTCATAACATAAATGTTCACGTTCGGAGCGTCACAGTCTTGCTGGAACGTGAACATGTCGGTAATAAAAAAGAGACAGTAATCTTACGAGCATCAGTATATGTGGCGTTGGGGGAGTAACATAATTTATCAGCGCATACGAACGCGTATCGTTGCTGCGAGCTAGCTTTTTAATCGGTACGAGTGTATTCCACTCTTCCTAGTAGAGAACCCGGGTCGTAGATCATCGGGGCCGTCTGGAAAAGTAGAAAGCGAAGCGGTGCGCCAGCTTGGCGTGGGCGCCGCTTGGTCGAAGAGTCCCTTTTACTCGGAGTACTTGGAAAGTACCGTTTCCTTTCCTATCTGGAGGAGAAGGTGAAAAAGAGGAACGACGAAACTCACATCTTCAAATCTCATCATTTTCTCTTACCATTCATTCCTAAATCGAGAGTCGCGCGCGAGCATATAAGTGTATCTCCTAATATAATTGAGACTATGGTGAGTTCTTGGACACGTGATTTCCAAGAGCTTGACCCACATAACATGTAGTATTTACATCGATGTTGACGTCCGCTGCGAGATAGTCGTCAGTACGTTTATTATCATATTAGTTTATATCTATTATCGACTATTACGATATGCGATTTGAATAGACCACACATACGCATTCCACACGTACACTTCGATAATCTTTTTTTATGAGATTTTTTATGAGATTTATCAAATGTTAATATAATCGATCACTATATTCTAATATTTTACAGATATATAATTCGAATTTTTTTAAAAGTTTATTAGAAATTGTTTGAAAGTGTTCCTTATTTTATTAGAAAATACATAATATTCAGTATATTCGTCAGAATACTTTTGCATAATGATATTTCTAATAATTTTATGTAAATGTTTAGATGGATGTTGAAATGAAATCTTTTGCAGCAAATTCTTCGAAAACTGCATAGCTTTTACGGCTTTTAGGATTTCATTCCAAGTAATGTTCCGAAACGAATTGATATCAGCAGAAAGATTGTCAGAATATCTTTCCATTAACACAATAACCGGAGCGTGGAGGCTGCGCATTATGCAGCTGAAAAATGCAGTTTGTTCAACGCGTTCAAACAATCATCCAGAATTCGTTGCCGACGCGAGGAGATACCACCTAAAGTGGGCCTCCATAAAGGTTTCCATTAAAATGATAAGCTCTGAATTGATCTCTTTCTACCCATTAGGCAGGAGTAATCCTCCTCCATATTGCGTTCTACAGTCTATTGTCGGATGAAAAGTAAAAGGATGAGAGATGAACAACAAATTGGAGAGAGAGAGAGAGAGAGAGAGAGAGAGAGAGAGAGAGAGAGAGTGA